AAGCGTTTCGATGAGTCATCAAGGTCATACCTTCTTCCAAGGACACATAATCTGATTGGGGTGTTTCCATCTCGCACCTGTAAGAAAACCTTTCTTGCTATTAGGTTAAGGAATGACTCCACTTTTCTAATCTAAGACTTAAAGCTACTATAGTACATACCAAACTCAAAATCTTAAAAGTGTTATAACTTCAGGGTATCTGTGAAACTTTCGTGATTTGCTAAACAGAAAACTATGTCATCTAGGAAGAGGTATAATTTAAAGTTTACTTTTTCTTCCTTTTCATTGTTTTGACAACTTGATGTCTACAAAGATAAAAACTGTTTCAATGCTAGTACAAATATAACTTAGCCTTAAAGAAATTTTATGTCAAGACATAATAGTGAAGGCATTTTATTTCCAACTAAATTTTTTCCATCAAAAGTGAAAAACGAACAGTAGTCTAGTTTTACAGCACAATAATGTGATGCTATGTATATGCCTATTATGTATGTGTTTTAGTATAACAATGAATTATCTATTTCATTCATACTATAAGCTCTAAAATCAAGAGATTGTTTTCAGAGGACCGCATTTAAGACTTTATGTTATGCTAATCGTAAGTCCTAATAAAATGGGCCCTATGTTAAATAGATCTGATAAATCAGAGGTAGTAAAATGGTAGCCCAAAGGATGAATGTGGCCCAAAGAGAGTTCTTCATGGGCCTGAATAATCAGTGTATGTTTAACAGAATCAGGTGTTGATGTTTAAAAATGGGAAAACTTTATATGAAATTAAGTTTTCTACCTTCTCTTGAAAATCCTGAAGATTTAGTAACACTGGATCCAAACTGTAGCTCAAACAAAGTAACTTCTGTCTGATTTCTAATTTGCTGCTGTGTCCAGTCAGCTCCCTGCAATCATGTATGACCCCTACACAGATCCTGGAGGCATCTGACTTTGTGGCCCCATATACACGACTACATAAAGTTTGCTAACTATGAAGATAAAAATCAGAATTTATTTCCTAACATAATGCAGTTGGTCCATGTAGGTACTTACTGTTAAAATCATGAACACTAAATGCAAATGCATTGCTATGTCACAGAACATTGTGTTATGTTGTTTTGGTGCAGGAAAGAAGGAGCTATCAGAATCAGAGTCCCTTCCTTTAAGTTACCCATGACAGCATGAAATAACTGAATTCCATTAAATTCAAGTAATAAAAAATTTAGGACACTATGGTTGCACAAGGATAATTTTTTCACTTATATAGATATATATTAATATTAATAATATATAATACTTTAATTCTTAAATTATATGATTGTAATGGAAATGCCTTTTTTGAGAGCCATCAAACACCTTTTGAAAATGACCTTTCCTTACAGTTTTCTTTTTCAACCCATATTGCAACTACATTGCTTTGCTCATGGACATATCTTTTTATAAGAAATCAAGATATTTCACTTTTAATATTTTATTATTAGAAAGGTGAGATGTTTATATTTAGTAAAAGTATGACTTTGGACTGGGCACAATGGCTCACACCTGTGATTTCCCAGGACTTTGGATGGCTGAGGCAGTAGGATTGCCTGAGGCCAGGAGTTTGAGGTCAGCCTGGACAACATAGTGAGATCCTGCTTTTAATTTAAAAGAAACAACAACAAAAAGTGTGACCTTGTTCTGGTCAGAACACCAGCGTGCTCTGAGACCTACAGTGCTCTGGCTTTTCCTGGCTGCTACTCTTCCTTTTCAGAAGATGCCTTGCCTATGCTCTTCCTTCAGGATACTATAGGCCTTTGATGACAGGGGTTAATTTTACAAGTGAGTAATGAAAATAAAATAAAAAACAGGCCAGGTGCAGTGGCTCATCACCTATAATCCCAACACTTTGGGAGGCCAAGATAAGAGGACTGCCTGAACCCATGGGTTCAAGACCAGCCTGGGCAACTTGGCAAGACCTTATCTCTACAATAAATAAGTAAAAATTAGCCAGGTGTGGTAGCACATGCTTTCCAGTTACTTGGAAGACTGAGGCAGAAGGATCACCTGAGCCCAGTAGGTCAGGTAACTGTGAGCATGCCACTGCACTCCAGCCTGGGTGACAGAGTGAGACAGCAACTCAAAAAATAAAAAAACTAAAAAAAAAAAGTGACTAATGTTCTCACATTATTCGCTTGTAAAATTATTTAAATGGTCTTGTTTATAAGTAAGTTGCTCATGTAAACAGCTGCTTTTTGTTGGCAATGCTTTAGTGCCAACTTTCTGTTTCTCACATTGAAGAGAACAAAGACACTGCCAGAGTCATAGGAAGATATTTATTCTTAAAGTATACATTTTACTTGAAGATGAGCGATTTACATTTTTCTCTAATAAAGATATACTATAAAGTATAATGCAAAATTCACATGAACTTAAGACAAAACATAGATTTTAGCTGAAATATTCACTGCTCAAGAGCACCAACAAGGACCCACTTCTACCCACCAATAAGGATGTACCTGACATGGAACAGCTTTTGTAGCCTCTAATCCCAGATCATTTTCTTAGCACCTAAGAAGGACTGTACTCTTTTCTGAAAGGTCCAAAGCCACAGGAAACGGACCTCCTTAGTTTCTGTCAAGTTTAAACTTACCCAAGAGTTGGGGAGCTGAGGCTACCATGGCTGCCAGTGTGCAGCTAGAGTTACAGTCTGCCTAAAGTTAAAGTCCAGTCCCACAGCCCATGCTGGATGCCCTGCACCACCTCAACATCTTGACTGCCTCCCTAGGGACCTACTACCTAGACCAAAAAAACCTGAGGCCTGGAACACTTTGACATTGATGGGGAAACTAGAGCTTGAGCACTGCCTCAGTTCCACTGTGGCAAACCTACCTGTGCATGGAAAGTTTAGCATCGTTCTGCCAATCTGTACACTGAAGAGGATCACAGTCATCTTCCAAAACGATACAGACTGCCTGCCTTTGAAAAATCCAGATTGTGAAACTCAAGAGACTGTCAAATGGGAATTGGCAAGGCCTCCAGAGTAGAAGCCAGAAGTCATGGGGCTACTTGGCCATCCTTGTCCCTTTGGGTAGTATGTTATCTGAGTCCTGGAGACCAGCCCTGAAGCTGCTGCTTTATCTGAGGAGTGGACAGATACATGATGTCATGTCATAATTCACTCAGATGCTAAATAGGAATTTAAGCATGAGAGGCCTTCCAGAGGCCTTGTACTATGAATTTCTTTTATTTGATTAAAGAGGTTTAAACAGTAAACTTGGCATTCATTGAGAACATTCTCCCAAATGGTGGCATTTGAGGTACAAGTCAGCTAAGACTGGTGGTGCTATTTAGAAGTTTCAAGCAATCCAAGTGTAGGTTTAATTTCCTGAAGCTAGAATGGGTCAAAATAAAAACTGTAATGCCACAAGCCAAGTAATATCAATTCTCAATCTGTGGAACTGATGAAGCTCCCAAATTGCCTTCCAGAGAAATAAGAGCACATTCTTTTTTCTCAAATGGTGATATATCTCTTTCCCAACAGACAGAACTGTAGAAGGTCTCCAAGTTAAGAAATATTGAAAAATAAATCTCAGTCATCTTTTTTAGCACCAAGGAGGGAAAATGCAAATAGAATTTTATAATTGCAAATTTTACATTTATCAAAGCCTTATTCAATCAACTGCAACTTCCACCAAAAAAATGACTGCAAGATAGGGATAAAAATAACAGCTAACCTTTTTATTAGTGCTTACTAGGTGCCATGCACTATGCTAACTGCAATATATTCACTAAGCATTATAATTAATTATTAAATTAACCTCTTTAATTAGGTATTTTCTTTACTCCATTTTACATATATGGGATATAGTAGAGCCTAAATATGTAATCTCTATGTTAATACTGCCTTCTCCCACACCAAAATGCCACTTTATATTAGTGATGTACCAATTTGAGTCACAATTTTTAGTACAACCTCAGAACACTTTTAAAAAAGTGAATACCCATTAAAAAATGCAAAAGCAGTAGAAAAAAATTTCTTCTAACAAAGGAAAATAAACAGCATCATTAAAATTATTATCCTTACATAATGACTTTATATAGTTAAGCTTTACATAATGGATTCAAAGGACTGGTCAGATTCCATGACATCTAAAATAAACTGCAAAAACATCTGCTGGCCACAGACCAAATAACTATATTGTATTATCAGCAAAAATGCTAAAATAGGACATGCGCCACAGGCAAATAGAACCATGCAGTCATTTCCAATTCCTTTTTCAATCACCGACAAAGCCAAATTGAAGCTAATACTATAAAAACCTGTACAAAGTTAATTTAACCAAATGTAATCTGTCCTTATGATCTCAAAGCTATGCCCTGCAGGTAAGCCTCAGCCAATTTCTCTTCAAATACTTTGGGAAACTTTTAAAAATGTATTGTAGTCCTGTAAAACACAAAACTATGTGCTAAGGATCCAAACTGAACCATTTAGAAAGCATTATTCATATCATTCACATCACAGTTTGATAACCTTGAAGACAGTTTTTTAAATTCCATTATTTTCTTCTTTAAATAAGTGCTTAAATATTTATTTGATGATTAATAATTTTTGTGAAGCATTAACAAGTTTATGACCAAGAATCAAGCCTAGGTCCCCAAATTGCTTATAGGAGCCTAAGCAGACTGGAAATGTAAAACTGTAGGAAGAACCAGAGATTGTCTGTCCCATCTAAGGCATTAAAAAAATCAGTCAGAAAACAAAACATAGTGTGGGCTGCCTGACACTTGTCTGTGGATAGATAATGGGCCACAAGTTTGTAACTCCCAAATGAAAGCTCAGAACCAGTCTGAAGCTGTTTTCCTAATATAGTTGCTTCCTGTCACAAAGAGTTTATGTAATAAACTCTTTATAGATTTGGATTAGTGTGAAGTAGTTTACACATAGGTGATACCACTCACCTGGAGAGTCCTTGTCACATATCTACATGTCCTGGGTGGGAATTAACTATAACATATAAGTAATTGGATTATTTTTAAATGTTTTTTGGCTTATTAGACCATAGATAATTGTTGTAGCTACATAAAAATGAAATACCACTACTGAAGTGGCACTTTACCTGCTTAAGAAATCGGTCAGATGCGTTGCTGTGCTTGGCTAATACACTTGGCAGAGCAGGATTAGCATACTCAAATTGAGGATTGTAGGTATAGTCAGATTTGAAGAATCTCAGTTTTTCTTTCTCTAAATTGGTGGGCTTTATAGCAGTCAATATACAAAATTTCTTTCCAGAAAAGTCATCTCCTTTTTCAAAGCTTCTAGACAGCTGAGGCTGTGGCTGTGGTTGTGATTTTGGCTTTGGCAGAGTGGAGAAATGGTACCGCTTGACCTTGCTTTTGGGCTTAGGTGGCAGTACTATGCTGTTCCCTGTAACAGAGATATCATGTGTAAACTTTACAGGACTTGACACTGAACTAGTGACAATAACAGCAGGCTGCCTCTCCAGGCAGTACCAAGTACCACTGCCCATCACAGGCACTGGGGCTTTTAACCTGCGAGAATCTTTACTACGAGAAGAGCTAGGAGATTTGCCGGGTTTTCTACATCTTTTGGAGTAGGTGGAGGAAGACTGCTTTTGTGAATGATGCTTTTTCTCCTCCTTGCTCTGGAGTAAGACATTGTAACTACTGGTTCCAGTTGTGAAAATGTCCTTTAGTATTCCCGGGGATAAATGTGAAATGCTTCTTTTGCTGTCAATGATCAATGAATCTTCTGCATTTAGAACAGACTTCTTAGCAAGTTCTTGTTCAGGCCAGTGAAGCTTTTCTGTGTTTAATAAACAAAAATCAAAACAAAAGAAATAACAAATATACCAGATGAAGCAAATTGTTTATTATATGAAAAGTATTCTGAAAGTTCTTTAAACATTATAATTTTGCAACAATCCTTTGGAAAAAACGTTTTAAATGTTAAAAATTAAAAGGATGTATAACTAGATGTATTACTAAACTTTGGTCATGCTAGATACTTTCACTTCTTTATAAGTTAAATAATCTATAAAAATCCTCAGATTTAAAGCATTTAGATGATCAAAGTCTAATATACATAGATGTGAGATAATACACATAAATAATCTGAATACTCAACTCTACTAAGGAATGTACATTTCACAGAAAGGATTCATTTTAAATAACTATTTTTAATAATAAAGTAAAACTCAAGGTATTTTCAAAGCCAATATAATCTTGATATTTGCAACTATACATAAAAGTAGCCATTAGTAAAAGAGGGACAACAAAGCCTTATTTACCTTAAAACCATTTTTAAGATTTAAACAGGTGATATATGCACATTCAAACATGTTTTAGTAATGTCACTCAGTATTAATAGCTGGTTGATTGTCTTCATAATCCTAAACTACAGTTTGAGGTTAAAAAAAAACAAGCTTTTGCTGGGCACAGTGGTTCACACCTATAATCCCATCACTCTGGGAGGCAGAGGTGAGAGGATTGCCTGAGACCAGGGGTTCGAGACCAGGCTGGAAGGCTGAGGCAGAAGGATCACCTGAACCCAGCAGGTCGAGGCTGCGGTGGCCATGAGCATGCCACTGTGCTCTAGCCTGGGTGACGGAGTGAAAATCTGACTCAAAAAAAAAAAAAAGAAAAACAATTTTTTTTGGAAAGTTAGAAAACAAATTTTTATGAGCCTTTAACATCGAAGTTTTAAAAAAGATTTTTTTTAATTACTATTACAAAGGTATCAGTATATCAAATGGCAAGTTAAGGAGAGGGCAGCTCTTTTTAGACCTGTTGTGCTTTAAACAGGTAAGTGCTTTAAACAGGTAAGAATTACTGGATATAACTGTTGTTCATGTACTGCTTTAAAACTTGTGTTCATTTGTACTCTTTCATTCAATAAATATGTAGAATACTATTAATTAGGCACATGGCTCTGGCAAACATCTGTATAAATACATTGTTCTTGCCTATAATGGGCTTCAAATCTGGCTCTGAAGAAAGAGCATCCCCATGAAGATTTGAATGACAGATAATACAATGTGTTATGATGAAATGTGAAAAAGAAAAGATGTAAATAATAATCTGGAGTTCAAAGAAGGAAGAGATCAATGTAAAGATAAATAGATGAAATTTCAGGTCCAGCCTTAAGAGCTTCCAGACTCAATTCTAAACTGACAAAGAGTTTGTCTTAAACACAGCTTATCTGAATAAGACTCAGCTCAAGTCCTGTCAATAAATGTTCACTGAATAAATAAATGAATGAATGCGTAAATGACCCTAAACATGCCATCCTCCAACCATTCTGGAAAAACAGGTAATTATAATTCTGGGACCATTCTGTATTTCTATGAGATTACTACGGAGACAGAAATATAACAGGAAAGAACCTAAACCAGTGGTTCTCAACTGAGGCCAATTTTATCCTCCAGGGTAAAATTTGGCAATGTCTAGAGTGTCTAGAGACATTTTGATTATCACAACAGGGGAGGGGCTACTGGCATCTAGGGAGTAATGGCCAGAGATGCTGCTAAACATCCTTCAATGCACAGGACAATTTCCTACAACAAAAAAATTATTTATTCCAAAATGTCGATAATGTCCAGTTGGAGAAACCCTGTACTAAATGTCAGAGTTTTTCTGTTTGTTTATTGTTTATTTTTTTTTTTTAGCTGGAATCTCACTTTGTCACCCAGGATAGCAGTGGCATGCTCACAGCCACTGTGGCCTCGACCTGTTGGGCTCAGGCAGTCCTTCTGCCTCAGCCTTCCAAGTAGCTGGAACTACAGGTGCGTACCACCATGCCCAGTTAATTTTTTGATTTATTGTAGAGACGAGGTCTTACCAAGTTGTCCAAGCTGGTCTCGAATCCCTGGACTCTGGCAATCCTCTTGCCTCAGTCTCCAAAAGTGCTGGGATTACAGACTTGAGCCACCGCACCCAGCCTTAAATGTTAGTTTTTAAAGGTCAGAAGTCATAGAGTTTAAGTTGAAGAATCAGTGTCAGGTCAAAAGCAGATAATGAAACAATCCAAATATGTAAGTACCTAAAAGTTCTTTTTATTTACTTATTTTTTTTAAGAGACTGGGTCTCACTATGTTGCCCAGGCTGGTCTTCAACTCTTGGCCTCAAATGATCCTCCTGCCTCGGTCTCCCAAAGTGCGAAGATTATAGGTGTGAGCCACCATACTTGGCTAAAAGTCCTTTTACTTACATTTTTCTAGGCCAGCATGTGAAATCTGTCTAAAAGATAAAATAAAATTATATGAACTTGCAGAGGCTAAATGTACAAGTTTAGAGGTAGGAGCTAGATTGTACAGGATCATGTTGAAGATGGATTGTACAAATAAGCCATTCAATAAATGTTAAAGGCTCAACAAGCCAAAACTAAGAGGGCAAATAAACAAAACTTCCATCACAGGCCGGTAGTCTAAAAGACTTCAGCATTGCCAACTGATAGCCAAAACTGGGCAGGATAGACAAACAGGCTTAGGAACACCAGGACGCAGGCTGTAGCCCAAATGCCCAAGAACAACATCAGTTCCCCTAAAACGATAAAATTTAGGAGACAAGAGGTGACAATGAAAGACTGAAATGGACACTAAGAGGGAAAGGGCAAGAGAACTGAGATAAGAACAAAGGTATCATAAGCCTAGAGAAGTAGGATAGTGACTAGGTGTAGCCAGAAAGGTAAAGGGAGGTAATCAGGTTTTTTCCTCATTTGATCCTCATAATAAAAGGAGAAAAAGTTACATCAAATTAAAATCAATGAATAAGACTACTCTGAATAATTGCTATTTTCATTGTGCATTACCTGCATGTTGTGTTGACTTTTAAAAAGTGAATATTCAATGTAAAAATGCTCTTTGATTCTGAAGACTTTGTAACTTTATGACCAAAGAACTGAGCTCAGAGTTATTTTGTTATAAAGCATCAGTTACCTCCAAATGCATAATTTTGTCCATATCAAAAAGCCTAGACATTTCAGGATACTAAAAAAAAATCCTAAACCACCTGCCAAAACACTCAAGGAGTGGAGGATGGCAGAGGGGTGACAGCATGTGCCTGACAGAACTCCTCTCCCCAGGAATTGTAACATTTCAGTTCACTTGCTAATTATCTCCTGAGAGCTTACTATCAGTCCTTTTGAAGCCCCTTCTGCTGCTGAGTAAAGTTTGGGAATGTTAATGGTATATCTATTTTACAAATGCCAATCCTGCCAAATGTTGGATATCCCATGAAGTTCATAACAGTGGGGCATGTGGTTCTTCATGCAACTCATACAAGATGGATATAAATTAACTTCTGAATCAACACATTAATCGTATTTCAGTTGCATTAAAAGGTATCATAGAACCTAAAAGACCATTTCTGTAATTTTAAATACTATTGCTTACTTTATGAAAAAAAGACTTTTGAACTTGCATAAGCACATAATAAGAGGCTGATAAGATTTTCAGTTGTCTATACAATTTATTAAAGAATATCTCAAGCCAGGCTCGGTGGCTCAGCCTGTAACCCCACACCTTTGGGAGACTGAGGTGAGTGGATTGCCTGAGCCCGCGGGTTAGAGACCCGCCTGGGCAGGTGAGACCTCATCTCTACAATAAAATCAAAAAATGAGCCGGGTGTGGCAGCATGCACCTGTAATTCTGGCTACTCGGAAGGCTGAGGCCGAAGGATCACCGGAGCCCAGCAGGTCAAGGCTGCGGTGGCTGG